GCCACTCAACAAAAGCTTCCCGTAACAGTCGAGCCGTACAGTCTATCGTACGTCCGTACGGAACGTTATACGCCACGGCCAATCTCCACCTCCTCCTCAATGGAGGATCTCTTACGAAATTTAGAGAGTGCTCCTTACGTCGCACCCTCACCTACCTTGGAACTAACACCAGAGAAGAAACCCGTAAACACTTGGTACAAGCTGTACCGTTTCCGTACAACGTCGCCTACGTTACGTTAAACCACGGATTACATGTATTGAATTCCTTCCCCGTAATAAAGTAATTAAAATTATACCGTCGTCTTCCAATGATTATGAAGATACCGATATAATTGATTTAACCCAAGGTTCGCCCAGGTTACAGGTAAGGAAAAATCATAAGTTACATTAATAAGTAAGTATAACATAAAAAATTTGTCCATAATTGACCAATTTTTAAGCATAAATATTGAAAAAATAATGTTTGTTTTTAAGTTAAAAGAAATGTGTTCGCAAATGACTCATATTTTTTTAAACCAGGATTGTCATTAAGTTTAAGGCAACAAAAAATGTTAAAACAACGTTTATACCCGTTTATCATAAAAAAATTTGTCCCTAATTGACCAATTTTAAGCATAAATATAGAAAAAATAATATTTGGTTTTAAGTTGAAAGAAATGTGTTCTGAAAATAGTGATTATTAAGTTTATAGTCGCATATTATAATAAAATAATTTTTTTTATTAAACGGAAAGAAACAAAAATTTTTTATTTTTTAAAATCGTATTGGATAATTTCCCTTTTTCAAAATTGGTATGTAACAAACGTGTAGAGAGAGAGAGAAGATACCCGTAAGTGGGGGGATCGCTGTGTATATAGAGCGGTGTGAAAGTTTAGTTGAAACATTATTTAAAAAGATTTTGATTTTCTAAAAGTAAAATTTTATTTCTAAAAATGGAAGAATCAAATATTATCATATTTGATGAATCATATGGAAATGAAAGTGATGATTCAAATGACAGTCAGGCGTCGACTGTCATTTTGTCTGATAGTAATGATGAAGATGATAATATTGGTCATAGACGTCAGTGATGAAGAGGTAAAGGTCTTTTTTTATTAATATATAAATTTATTCGTTTTTATTAATATTATTTTTTATTATATTTATTTATATATAATTTTTTCAGGTTAACGAACTGATGGAAGAACCTGCATTTAATTATGGACCACAACCTCTCCAAATTGAGATTGTTGATGATGATGTTCTAATTATTAACATCTCTGATGAAGAGGTAAAATATTTTTTTCTTCTATTCCATGTGAACATATATACATCACTAATTAATTATTTATGTAGGGGAATAGTGTCAGGGTTGGACACTTGTCAGGGTTGGACACTTGGCTTTTTTTAAATAAGAACACTAGCGCCACCTGTGTGCGTACGTGACGAATCTTCTAGTAGTGTAACCTAACTTTTTGTGGCATTACATTTTTGGAGAATCAAAAGTAGCGTCTCCTGTGACTTCGGTGCAATCGAAGAGACAAAAAAAGTTTTGTTTGACTTGTGAATAAACCTAAAAAATATGTAAAAAAAGCTAGAAATCGGCAAGGTAAGCTTATTGAATGTATTGTGGGGTACATAATTTAAGAAGAAAAAAAGTGAAAACTCGAATCGCGACACATGTCTAGTTATGGTTAGCACAATTCGAAAATGATGCTTCTAGTTAGGGTTGGACACCCATATTAATTATATGAATTTGACACAATTTATAAATAAATTTTATTTTATTGATATTTCAGTGCAAAATTGTGCCAAAGATATTAGAAAAATAATACTTAAATTGTATAAATTTTGTTCATCATTTCATTGAGTTATTTGGAACAATAAAGCGTTATTTTTTGTAATTTGAGTTGATTCCTTTTTTAAACCCATGAAGCTTTACAATTTGTAAACAATAAGTAAAGATAAACATGAAAAAATAAGAATAAAAAACATTACAAATGTTATTTTACGTTTTTACCAATAATGCGTTTCGATTTTCAAAAAGTGTCCAACCCTGACTGAAAAGTCCAACCCTGACTGGATTTTTTTTTTAAATGTTTATAACTTTTTTAATTTTGGACCAATCAATTTACGGTCCACAGCAAAAGTGTTCCTCTTTTGTAGATCTTTCCACCCATATACCACAATTGACTGAATTTATCTAAACAAAATATTTATAAACAAAAAACCAAAACTGTGTCCAACCCTGACACTATTCCCCTACATTTTAATTGTTTATTAAGGTTGATGAATTAATGGATATTTTTACATATTATTTTTAAAAGGAGAGTTCATTCCACACTTAAATTAAATAGATACAATTTTTAAGCTTATATTTTTTTCTTTTTTTGCTTTGCTTTCAGATTTTTTTAGCATTTCTTTTAGATTTTTTTAGCTTTTCTTTTTTCTTTTTTTTGCTTTTCTTTCAGGTTTTTCAGCTTTTAGTTTAAATTTTTTTGCTTTTCTTTCAGGTTATTTCAGCTTTTATTTTAGATTTCTTTTTCTTTTCTTTTAAATGTTTTAGCTATTCTTTCAAGTTTTATTTTTTTCTTAGAATTTTAGATTTTGTTTCATTTTTTTTTATCTTTAGATTTTATTTTTGGTTTTTTAGTTTTTTCAAGAAATTTAATTATAATTTTTTTAAAGAATTTAAAAATTAGGGGGAGGGGTGAGACCAATGATATCACCCCTAAGTTTATTCCTTGTTCAAATATTTTTTACATTGCCTGTCCATAAGATTTAAATCTTATAGATCTGGACAAATAATTTTTTTAAAAATTAGTTTTACAGGATTAATTTTTTTTCAGTCAAGAAAAGGAATGGATAAAGCTTTTTCATATTTTGATGATGGTGATGATGACAGTAACGATGGTGCGGAACGATTAATCGTTTTCATTATGGATAGTGAAAATGAGGAGGAGTTGGAGAGCGAAGGTTCCATATATTCGGATAATGATGATTATGATGATGACGAATATTATGAATTTTTAGAAAATAGTGATGATGATGATGTCATTCTCATTATTAGTCCAATTATTGTCATTTCAGAGGTAATATTAGTATTTTAATAATAATAATAATAATATTAATAATAATTTTTTCAGATGGGATTATTACAAACTCCAGAACCATCTTTAACCGAAGAAAAATGTAAAAAATAATTTTAAAAAATGTATTGTGATAACCCGAATCAAGATTTAATAAAAATGAGAAATTTAAGGGTTCGACTCGTCCGGGAGGCACAAAATTTCACAAGGAAAATTCCCACGTGGTTCCAAACATGTGGGTGCATCCACAGCAGCAGCTACAATGAGCGATTCCACAGGCAAGCGAGTTTGAAATAGACGAGATAAATAATATCGACTGAACTTACCAAAAATGACGCTATTATTGAAGTTGAATAATCAAGTTGGCCTGCTATCTGTAGTGGAAATTATCCAAGGGGATGCACACAATCTAAGCCACAATATAATTTAAAAAGAATATATTTATTATTTTATAAACAGTTCTATCTCCACAACACACAAATCAAAAGGTTAACTTTAACCGCGTTACAATAAGTGTTTCGTGCGACAGATCGCTTCGCTCTAGTCCTTTTTTTGGCGACGACAAAAACGTGGTTTTGTCGTCTGCTCGAAATGCGGTTGACTTACGCCGTCTGGCGGATTATTTTAGCATATACCGCGGGACCATTTAAATTTTGGGGAACTGTTGGTAACGACCATATTTAATAAAATAAAATAAACAACGATTTTCTTCATGATCGTTACAGTATATATATAAATAAATAATTATTTTCTAGTTAAATTTCTTTCTTAAATAGTGTGTGAGTGCATGTGTGTTAATGAAGATGGATGATAGTAACATACGATAGGAATTGCGCACGCATTCTAGTGGTGGTGGGGTTGAAGTGAAAAGTGGGGGATACTGATGATATAAAGCGATTCCCATGCCACAAGAGTCATTCTCTCTCCGTCAGCTTTCCCAAGTAACAGTAAGTATTAGTTTTTTCTTTACAGCAGCTTTGTTTCCAGCATTTTTTTTCATATTTTATTGCAGCATTTGTTTCAGCATTTTTTCAAATTTTATTATAGTATTTCTTTCAGCATTAATTTTCAGCAATTTATTTCAAATTTTTTTTTAAAGGATTTTCTTCATCATTTATTTTCAGATATGCACCTTTTCTATTTTAAGAGCATTTTAAATTTCAGAGCTTTTGAATACATTATATTTATATTCCGATTTTCATCTTTCTGTTCAAGGTTTGTGTTTTGACAAGTATAAAAAAATGGATTTAGAAAAAGTAAATGCTGTTGGACGCATGGAAGCTACCTTACCAACGAAGCCACTTTCCGAGTTGGTTCCAACGGGAAGCTACATGATAATGAAAATTACAAAAGTACAGACAAGATTTGGAGGACGGATAATGACAGAAGTTGATAATGAATTTATAACATTCCTGCCAGCAAGATGTGTGAAACTCTTCGAGGATAAACCGAATACCCTGGAGATGATGCAAGAAGCTGCTACTTCAAACAAGTTATACATGAAGTACTTGGGAGGACCATACAACGCCTTAGAATTTAAATTTAAATAAATCTTAATAATTTTTTAACAGTCATTTTTATAAAATCAGAAATTTTGACATCAATAAAAAGAAAATTTTAACTATAACCTGGTTTTGAAATTATTATCTCCCGTGTACAAGTTAATTTTAAGTTTTATTTTCAGGAAGATTAAAACAGTTTGAACTTTTATTATCAGGAATTTTAAAGTAGGTGTAAATTTTATTGTCAGGAGTTATAAATATGTTTTATTTTCAGGAATTATAAAAAAATAAATATTTAAATTTAAAAAATATGGTGATTAGGTTTTTGAAATAAAGAAATATATTTATTTAAGTTTCAATTTGGTATTTTATTTAAAGAAACTATTTAAAAATTTTTACAAAAAAGATTCACAATTTTCGTAAAAAGCTTTTAAAGTGCAATCAACTGCGTCAATTCTTTAGAAACAATACTTACATACTCGTTTGAAGGATCCAGAAACCATTCACGAAGAATTTTTACATTTCTCACAGCACAATTTTCAGTATAAAGCGTATGATGAGTACACGTAGTTGACAATTCAGACTTAATTTTTTTCAGTGATGGACAATCAAAATCTTCTAAATTTTGCATATTTAGTAAATATTTTTCTAACCACGTCTTCTTCTCTAATCCTTTGACGTAGATGACTTTAGCACCTCGTAGTACATCTTGTAGAATTGGACGAAGTTTATCGTATAAAACGTCTCCAGCTGACCAATGAATTCCATGGTAATTATGTGTAAGCCAAAGATTTTCACTTTTATAGCGTCCTGGCAATGAATTCCAATTACACGGAGGTTCAAATAGGTAGACGATTGGTTGAGCATCAGCCTGAAGTGGAAGTATTGCCAATTCTTTAAAGACAAAGTCACTGTAGGGTCTTTTAAAACCTTGAACGTCTACGATAAACTCCATCCTGAAGCAGAAAATGAATTTCTGGCCGAAAGTACTGCATTTATAGTCCAATTATACCCCTACCAACACTTTTTAGATTACCCCTTCTCCTCTATAGCAACTTTTTAACGACGCCGCTGATTGGTTTATATTGTACAACGCGATCATGGATGATTAGGCAATATGCAGTAGTCTCAGCCGGCAAGTTATATCCTGATTCAAATTCTAATCGTACATCTACTGATGCCTGTTTCAAAAACTCATTTTGTTTTGAACAATCGATAACAATTAAAGGAAATAATTGTTTAAAAATATTCTTTGTTAATATAGGTTTTGCATCTTTTCCATAGTAAGAAGTTTGAAAATTAGCATACATTTCATAAAGTAAAGCATACTGATTTTGATAAAAGTTTAGATTCAAATTACCATGAGGATAATACTGAGAGTTTAAAAAGAGTTTAACGTTTGTAATATTACAATGATTAAAATAACAAGCATATTTTTTTCGTTTATCTTTTCTCGCTGTTTGAAATCCAACAATTACATATCGTGGTTTTTCCAATTGAGTGGAAGTTTTGATTTGCCATAGGACTTTTGAACTTGTAGGAACTAAAGGATATTCATACATTTCCCATGATCGAAAACGTATTGAAATTAAGGGATCTTTTTCGATGAATTTCAATAATTTTATTTTATTATTATCAGAAGGGTAGCGATTATGTATTTTGATTTAACTTTGAATTATAAAAAAGTAAAGTAAGTAATTTTAAACTGTTAAAAAAGCGGTATAATTAAGGAATTTTTAAAAGATTAATAATTAGGTTAAAATTATTTAATCTGTCAACGGTAAGTACTTTTTAATGTTGAAACCAGGGATATGTTATAATTGTTTTGAATAATGCCTTACTTTCATTTTTATAAATGTAGTCAGAATAAAATAAACTAAAATATCAAAAACTAAAGAAAAAATTATTTTGTTTATAAGATAATTCAAAACATAAAAAATTACTTACATTTGACCGATGAAATATTTTTTTCCTAAAATAATTTTAACTTAAATTAGTTTCCTACTGTTTTGAACAAATTGACATTTTGTACATAATTTATTGATGTAATTTAAAATAGAAAATGCTCAACATAAATTATTATTAAAAATACTCAATTTTTTGGCATAATGTAATTGCAATTAATTCCTAAACATAAATTCAATAATGAGACTGTCATTTATATTTGTGTAAATAAAAATTGACGATTAATTTTATTTAAACAGTAATTAATTATATATAAATAGTAATATTTAAATAATTCTTTCAATATTTCCTCTTAACATATGTGAATGAATAAATAAATAAAATAATACTAATGTTTTAATTATATTTCATAAATTAAAGTTTTTTTAACCTCTTACTTTTACTTAGTTTGTTAAAGTTATAAAAGTTTTTTTAAAACTCCTTGTAATGCTGTCTTGATCTTTTTAAAATTACTTACTTCACTTTTTCATCATTTAATTCCTAAATAAAGTTTTTATTCTTAAATTTTTAATAAAGGGAAAAAAGTAATTATACTTCAAAATTGTGGTTATTACAATTTGACAAATCAAAACAATCATTTTACGTAAAACTATGTAAAATGACATTTGACTTCGAAGTCAAAATAAAAATGACTTTAACGTTAAATTGAAAATGACTTTAACGTTAAATTGAAAATGACTTTGACGTCAAAGGTAAATCAAAATACATAATCGCTACCCAGGTAAAACGTATAGAATCATCCATTCTAGTTTATTAATGAAAATTTTAAATTCTTCATCAGCTCCTTGTCCTGTATGAAGCTTTAGTGTCATTACGCGCTCTTGTTAAAATAAGTTCATGTTTGGCGTTCATAAGAATTTTCTTATAATCCTCGGCAAAGCCGAAAATCATGCTAAGTGGAATTGTAACATCAAAATATCCATTTTCTAATGTTATTCTTGCATCAGCTTCAATTTTTGAAAACACTGCATTTTCTATAAGATTCAACTGCGGTGGAGTTAGAGATACTAAACTTTTCATAATAGTTGTATGTCCAACGTATTTGCATCAATCAATCTCGATACCATTTAATTCATACCGAACTTCATCAAATAAAAAACATATTGCATTGCTAGTCAAGTGTACGTTTTCCGTAACAGCAATACCAAATTTTCAATATTCCAAATATGTGCAATGAACTTTTACTCGGTAAAATACATAAATCTTGATGTTGAACTGCAATCCGAATTTCATCACTATTGTTAAAAGATGATGAAGCATATGGTTGATGAGTATGAATTTCATAATGAGCTATGGACTCATCAAAATTCACTGCTACTGGAATGTTGAGAATTTCGTCCATTTTTATTGCAACAACACCCTAAAAATATATCGATTATTTGTCTTGGCGTTTTCCTTGTGGTATGACTTTTAGGCCTAAATTTTTCAAGAATAGGTGATTCTGAGGTGTTAACGCCTTGTGAGACAAGTTTAGATAGATTTTTCTTTGGCATGTTGGTTGACTTTTATAGCTTCCACCACCAACTTTTTGATTATAAACGATTCCCATTATATTGATTTTATATGCAATCGAATTGATATAGTTTCTCCTCGAAAATTAATCAAATCACCATCCTGATCAACAATGCGGAGTTGAATATTATGTATTGTTTTGACCACAATCGGAAGGTAAATGACGTGTGCCGGCACTTCCACAATCTTATATCCTGGTGGAACGCTTGGAAAGAATTCATGGATGGTGTGAACTTTTTGATTATTTATATACGCTCCAGATGTAATGTTACACTAAATTCTAATTGAATTTACCTTGAGAATGGCAACAGGTAAATCAGATGTGTGTGTTTCATTAGGTGATAATTTTCGGTGTGTAAATCCCAATAATTTACCAATTGAATCTTCATGTTTAAAATTAATTGGTAAATTTGATTCAACTAAACTGCGTAATGTATTGTTATTAGGCTTTATACTAATAACAGTTCCAAGTTTCACAGAATCTTTTATACATGTTTCAATGTCTTTAATTTCATAACTCCCAGTTGGTATATCAATTACATGATTACTAATGTAAAAGTTATTGTTACCTCTATCAATATTGGGAATAGAATTAAAAGTCAGTAATTCAACAAGACCAAGAACATAATGTTTATTTGGATCAAGTTCTATTGATGGGAAATATTCAGCTTCAAGAACTGAATAATTTCTCGTCAACGTTAATGTAAACGAATCACTCAGGATGCGGTCAGTTTATATACTAAAATAATACAAAAGTTACATGTTCTTATATAGACTAAAGCTGCCCTTAATATTAAGTTGTATACATAAAAATTTTAAACACAATTGTCCACATACAAATGTATCATAATTTTGATATCTCTTATGATTATATTTTATTAAGCTACCATCAGCCAAGTATGTGATTAGATCTGTTGGTGGAGGAAGGTTCCCAAAACTATCAAAATACATTGTTTTATTATTACATTTTTTATATGCTACCCAGTGAGTCCCTGGACCTTCTTTATTATCTAAATTAATTATTCCTGACTCATGTCGATAAGCTCCTTTAAATAATAGTTCATTTCGCATGAAAACTACACGAAAATGTGGTATTTTTAAAGTTTCGGCATACTTTATCAGATCAAAATCATTGAGTGGACGGCGAGGTAGCTTCAATGCAAGTTTTTTTTCTTCTTTGATGTTCGTTTCTTTTTCTTCGACACTCCTTTCCCTTGAATAAAGGGTGTAATATGCAGACCAAGTCCTTGTCGGTATGGTTTCAAATGTAATCCTTTTCCAAGTGATATTTCCTCCATTGCTTTATTGTGACGGTGAGCTTCAGACAATTGTTCCTTACGTGTTTTAGATTTATTTACAGCTTTTATTATTCTCGAAGCTCTACCAGCAAGAGCTCCCAATGCACTTAGTCCAGCAAAAATTGGAACTAGTGGTAAAATACCACCAACTTTAGTAGGTACGGCAAGAATGCGTAGTGATACGATTTTTGATCTTCCTCCAGCATTCTTTATTGCTTTTCTTGCACCTATCAAAGCAGCTCTAACGGATTCTCCAGCAGTATGACTAGACATCATATAAACGTCATGGTACTTTATTTTCAGACAGTATTCGAGCTGTATTTTGTGGTCCCTCGAATTGTGGTAAAACAAACGTACTTCTCTCTTTAATCATACATCCGAATGGTTTAAGTTTTGAAAATATTTACCTATACTCTAAATCTCTTCAACAACCAAAGTATAAATTTTTAGAAAATGTAATCAATAACGTGAATGGAATTGAATACTTTCCATTTAGTGAACATGAAGAAGTACTATCACTAAAAGATGCTAAACCAAATTCAATTTTTATATGAATTTTTTTTTTGTTTTTATACCAAAGGAGGAACAGTTTTATTAATTTTTTTTTTAAATTGTTTCTTTTTGTATCACATATATTATTTAACATACAACACATATTTTTTAAACATTTGTTTTTGTAACAAATAAGTTCGCTTCGAGTACGGAACTTGTCCGATTTTATTTTATAAAAAATATTTTACTAAAATGATATAAGAAACATAATTTTATTTAAACTCGCAATATTTTTATTGTATATACATTTTGCGTTTTAATTGAATTTAAATCATTTAAATCACTTAAATGAGTTAAAGAAATTTATTGCTTTCTCCGCGAGGAACCCAAATTTTTATAAAATGAACAAAAAGAACCCCCTATTTTATTTTAGAGTTATAACGACTGAAGAAATAAACTTAAGCAAAAAGTCCACTGTTTCCACTTCTTATCATGTTTATTAAATTATTTCTACAATCTACACATAAAAATACGTAAGAATAGTAAATTTGAAGCCCTTTAGATAAAATTTTTTCCGTTATTAAGAGAAAATTCATGATTTTTTCTAAAATTATTAGTTTTTTTTTTGACAGCTCCAGAAAAATCAACTCCAATCATCCTCGCAATATATTTTTTGTAATCTACACGT